GTATGTGTTCGCTCACCTCCCGATCTACTGAGCCGACCTGTGACAGTCTCATTGTCACAGGTCGGCTAGAACTATGAGGTGAGTGAAAAGCACTACCCTCATAGTTCTCCTTTTAAGCAGACAAGTACTATGCTATATTTGTTTTCTCAACTACCTGAATCTTTACTCCATTTAGTTACAATGACTGCGGTAGCTCTGATTTTCCCCTTCTTCTTGGAACAGTTCCCTTACTACAAATGTGAGAGGGAAGAATGAGCTTTAACCTCTTGCCGTCCGCCCGTAGTAAAAAAACGGACGGACGGCACTGCTGCATCTGCGGGTTGCCGTCTCCAGACGGCAATTTTTTTCTGCTCGCGCGCGCCCCCTAGCGGACACGCACGGGCAGAAAAGACCCGATCAATGCACACACCCGTTACCGGGTGTTTCACATATAGGCGATCAGCGGGTCCATAGCCCGCCGATCGCCTCTATGTGCTCGTTCGCGGCCCCACGTTTACGCGCCTATAAATGTAAATACGCGTCCGGTGGCCCAGCGCGCAAAAATTACAATTGCGCTACACATGTTACATATCGCCGCGAACGTCGCAGTGAGAGCAATCATTTTAGGGCCATCAATCACTGATAACACTAAACTGATGAGCGGTAACAGCTTTTAAAGCGTCGCCTAGGGCCAATTTTGGGTATTATCGTTTTTTGAGGTTTCGCACGCGCACGCAATTTTAAGGCTTGACATGTTTAGTGTCTTTTTACCCGACGTGACCCCATCTTTTATATTTTACCAAAAAATTGGGTAATAATAAATGTTTTATCATTTAATATAGGGGAAACTGTTTTGTTTTTTTTTTACATTTCGGTAATTTTTCCTTAATATAGTAAAAAAATAAAACCCCCAGTGGTGAATAAATACCACCAAAAGAAAGCTCTATCTGTCCCCAAAAAAGGGTATAAAATTCATTTCAGTACAGCGCTGCATGAAGGAATAAATGTCAGTTAAAGTACCGCAGCGCTGAATACTGAAAAATGGCCTGGATGGGAAGGGGGTTTAACACCGCGGATGTCAACTGGTTAAGAAAGATGGCAAACTAAATTCTTTTTTTTTTTTTGCTTCAAAACTTTGCATGGCTTTCCTTCAGTTTTTCCTTCTAGTTTGATGTGGGACATTCTGAACAGTGATTTTCACCAGACCTGATCATGCCGAGTCGGGGGTAATCTGATGTAGATGGGCACATGTGCGTTTACATCCAAATTCCCCATAGATTGACACAGGTTCTGATCATTACAGGTTTTTTTCCCTTTCATCTTGCGATGAAAAAACTGTACGGACGCGGTTGTCACAGCAGTAACATCCGATCTGTACTGGTCAGATCAGGAGGGGATCTGTGCACGGATCCCCCCCTGATCAGACAGTGTGAAAGGGGCATAACTGGCAGAATTAGGGATGCACCGATACTACACCTGGTGACGGGCAAGCATGGAGACGGCTTCCCTGCTAATCGGAAAGCTGGGTGGCGAGTCATTACACGCTGCCCAGCTTCCCGGCAAATCAGGAAGTCAGTTGGCGAGTCATTACACGCTGCCCAGCTTTCGGCTAATCAGGAAGCCAGGTGGCGAGTCATTGCACGCTGCCCAGCTTTCGGCTAATCAGGAAGCCAGGTGGCGAGTCATTGCATGCCGCCTGGCTTCCTTAATAAGACTTTCGGTATCGGGGAGTACCGGGGAAAAAAAAAATCGGTACTCCATACCGGAGAAATCGGTATCTGTGCATCCCTAGGCAGAATTGACATTTCAAATAAAACAATGGCTGCATTTTAGTTTCAACCTTTTTTAAAATAATATTCATAGTTTATTTTTCTCTGTTTTCTTTCTCGTAGCACTGTATCACTAAGGGACTGGATCCAACTGGCTGCCCTGCTCTTCTTTCTCCTCCTGTCAGCATGTCCCGTGTGCATGCAGCACAGCCCGATTGGCTCCTAGTGCTGCCCTTACCTTTTGCAATCAGAGTGCTGCTGTACAGAGGATGACAGAGGCTGATATAAGAGACAGTCTGGGATAGTTATGCCAGTTGTACTTTGAAATCCATTTTAATATAAAGGGCGATACACCAGCATTAGTCTGTCCTTTACATTTCCCTGCAGCTCAGCTTTTTACTGGGACCGGAGCTGCTCTTTGAGCTTGGGGTTTGCAGTCATATTTTAGATTGTTTTTTCTTTTGACCCCTCTGTAGTTTTTATTGGCCGCTTCTGTACCTGGCAAAAATTCAAGTTTCACTTTTTTGATGGCATTTTCTCAAGCTTTTCAGTTCTGCATTTTAAGTTTATTTTCATTTTTACTTTCTCAGCGTTTCCAGGAAGCATCATTTGCTGTATACAGATGAGTAAATCTGTCTACGAGGGGGAAAAACTATGCAAGCCTTGATCATATAGTATTCTCAGAAAACTTCTCCTGAATCTACTATTAACTCCTAGAGCAGAGGAACTCCGGGCATTTTAAAAATTAACCCTTGCCGTGGAGCTACCACCCACACTGCAAAGGTCAAGTGCTTGCTTTGGTCTAGGGTCTAAAACAGTGACGTGCCGTGCCTTCTGTGCTGGGTGTGGAATAAGCCCCACCCCCCTCCCCGTTCCTTTTTTTTTTTTGATTGGACAGCTTGGACCAATGGTGCTTTGCCACTATCCCAGCAATACATTTATAAAGCACCATGTGTGGAAAGTGCAGGCTTACCTGAGCAGTCTTCCAGCAACTTGCTTCTGAGATCGGGCCTGTCTATCGGCGCCTGTCACCCCCTCACCCCCACACTTGCTCCTCCTTACTTCTTCTCCCCACGTCCCTGTGCCGATCGTGGATGTGGGCGGGCAGTGAGCGTGATGCGAGTAGGAGGTGTGGATCCGGGCGGGTCTGGCAGCGGCGAGCGTGAGGTGGGGAGGAGGTACGGCACGCAGCGTTTGTGGAGCCGTGAACAAGGCCAACTAATCGGAAGCTGATTAATCGTTGATTGAAAAAGTCGACAACTTTTTCAATAATCGTTTTTAATCGATTTATGTGGATTAGTTGTTGCAGCCCTAAATCTGACCATACAATCTTTGTACAATCAACTTTAGATCTACCAAAGCTATGTAATATGAGCACCTATCTAGTCTATACAATTAATATGCATCCAATCAGGCAAGCCCTTGCACTACATCGCTGTTGGTAGATCTAAAGGAAATTGTACAGATTGTAAGATGTGTGGTGAGCTTTATTCCCGCTGACGTCCTTGCGTCTATGCAAGGTCCATTAACTTGCATGAAATATGAGTACCCTGTGGGACATTCCACAGCTGGATGTCCTATTTGTTTAATCTATAGCTGAAGCATAGGGGGAGAGAGGCGAGTGCTGACTGCCGTAGGTCGGGTGAGTAGATCTTCTGTATTCCAGCCCCTTCACCAAAACAAGCGTGTGTGTGTGTGTGTGTGTTAGCCTCACTACAAGGGTTACCTTTTGGAAAATCCCGTGGCCCTGCTTTGGGGATATTAATTTCATAATGTGAGAATTAACACATGGACAGTAGGGGCCATCAGCACACACATGTGGTCATCAATCTAGCTTCTTCTGCCTGTATGCTACCAGTGTTGGATTGATATAGCGTGTGACTGGCTCACATTGCTGTCCTTCCCTCAGTATGTGGATTGCTGTCCTGAAAATGATTGGAGTCTAATAAAAAAATAAATGTGGCTACTTCAAGTACTTTAATAAAAATCAATCACGGGTGAAACACTACCATTGGCATTCTGACCTCCTGCTTCTGGAAATGCTTTTTGCTTGACCTTCATTCTGACTTGCATGCTTCAGTACTTTGGTTCACTGGAATAGTATGCAAATGAGGGTTTTTGACTTGCCCTTTGTCTCTGACTCTTTCACTCTGCGTACTTTCCTCCGGTCTCTTGTCTGACGCTGTCCAAGCCAGTGAATCAGTAATACAGTCGGCCCCTGATCATGATCATT